GATGATCCCCATCTCCCACACCCTCCTCCGCTCTGGCCGCTGGAAGGGAGAGAGTTACCAGGATAGAGATGCCCTACTTCTCAAGTTCAAAGTTCAGGTTTCCTCTTCTGGGCTCCCAAGTTTACTCAACAGCGCCATCTGCTGTCTCCAAAGTCGGGAAACCGGAGAGAGCCGCAGTGTGTGTGAGCCTTGCAGATTCAGGTTTCCCCCCTCACAGCGCCTGTAAGACTCTTAGAAAAGGGAGGGCAGGACACCCCTGCAGGCCAGCTTTATGCCCTCTCCTGAACGGCCCCTGTCTCCCTCCTCCACGCCAGCCCTCCCCTGTCAAAACCCACCAGTTCCCCACAGCTTTCTGCTAATTCCACCACTAGCAGCACCGCAACCATCCCTCTGACACCCACGTAACCTCGGCTATTAGAGCAGGTCCCGGACCGAAGTCTGTCCCCGGCTTCTGCACTTCCTGATAGGAAGGGGTGGTTAACTGCTTAGGGGCTGGTAGGGCGGTAGACCCCTAAACGTTCTCATGGGGGACATGCTGCCCAGTAATTTTTTAAAATTGTGATAAAACACACATAACGTAAAATTTACATGTTTGTCTTCTTTTAAGATTTTATTTATTTATTTGAGAGAGAGCATGAGCAGGAGGGGGAGAGGGAAAAGCAGGCTCCCCGCTGAGCAGGGAGCCCAGTGTGGGACTCGATCCCAGGACCCTGGGATCATGACCTGAGCGGAAGGCAGACGCTTAACCGCTTAACCGACTGAGCCACCCAGGTGCCCCTAAAATTTACATCTTCAAGTGTACAGTTCAGTAGGGGTAAGTAATTCACAGTGTCCAGAACTCTTTTCATCTTAATCCTGGTAACATTTTCAACACCGTTCTCCCCCCAACTCCCACCCCTCCTGTCCCCTCTCATGATCTCAAGTTCTTCTTCATTGTCATATATTTTTTAAATTGATCTCATGAATCCTCATGGAGCTCACCAAATATACTCCATTAGCTTCGCCATCTCTCAATTTCCCACTGGCTGTCTTTAAACACTGGTTTAGGGGCGCCTGGATGGCTCAGATGGTTAGGCGTCTGCCTTCGGCTCGGGTCATGATCTCCAGGTCCTGGGATCCAGCCTCATGTCGGGCTCCCTGCTCAATGGGGAGTCTGCTTCTCCCTCTGCCCCTGTTTGTGCTGTCTCTCTCTCAAATGAATAAATAAAATAAAATTTAAAAAATAAACACTGGTTTATTTTGTTTTTCTTTCTCCTCTCCTTAAAGCAGTTTTAGTGCCTTGTTTTGACACCTCCTGACAAAGAGAAGGCAGGACAAGAGAAAAGAGTTGAGGTTTGCTCATTTTTCTGCTGCTGAGTTCTATGAGAGTTTTGCTCCAGGAAGGAGCAAAAGAACGAGTCCCCTACAGGGCACTGGATCCACCAGCTTCCCTGAGTATTGTACGCAAATTGTATGTGCCTGTGGGAATATATGTATTTAGGGAGACATTCTCTACCTTTCCTCAGATTCTCAAAGGGGTCCCTGGCCCAGAAAAAGTTAAGAGCCACCGACAGCCACCCTTGGAGATTAGCATCTGGAGCTTTCATTTATCCAGCTCCTTCCTTGATCAATCAATGGCGGTGAACCACATGATGCCCAACAGTGTCCTTGCCTTGTATTGACCACAATTGTGGACTGAGTGAGTAAGGACATCAAAGAGTGGCAAGGACATCACAGAAGGAAACTTGGAACAAAGAGCCTGAAAGAACGATTGAAGTGGAATCATGAGGGGAGGGTTATAATCTGCAGACGTTCCTGGGAAGCCAGAGAGATAAGCAGGCTAAACAGAGGCCTTTCATACCCCACCATGGCCTTGTGTGGCTCCTTGAGTTCTCACCTAGTGACTTAGTGACCACAGAAACTTCTGGAAGATTTCTGCTAATAATAACGCTTACTAAGCACTTATTATGCTCTTTACAGACATGACCTTCTTCATCCTCACCACAACCCGTTAAAGTGGGTATTTTAATCCTCATTTGACAGAGGAGAAAACTGAGCCTTAGGAATAATGGGTAATTTTCCCAAGGTCAAAGCACAAATTTGAACCCAGGTTTGCCTCACTTCAAAGCACATCCTCCTGACCACTAGGCTGTCCCTTGGGGTTGTTGGGTTTTTTTTAATTGTAATAAAATGGAGAAAAGCTCATTTCCCTTAAGTACAGAATATACCCTACCTCCTCCTCACTCCCTCCATTGAAATCCATTTTCATTGGGGAAATACTAAATAAGCTGTTTAGGTGTGTGTAGAGGGAGATGGTAGCCCCAGGTGTACCCCCAGGTGCTCCAGTAACAAGGGGTGCTTTCTAAACTGCCTTCTAAAGCCTGGACACTGCTGAACGGAGAGTATAAGCTTGGGGTCTGAACTAAGCTGCTCAAGATCATTAAGACATTTGTGAGGTGTAAACAGGAGAGAGGAAGGCGAGGAAAAGGAGGTAGCTAGTAACCAGCCAAGGACTTTCAGGGAACAACAGGGAAGTCTAATAAGGAATTTACTAAGTTTGCCATATGGGATGCCAAAACCAGATAGAGACACCACACACACACACAAAAGGCCAATATTTCTGATGAACATAGATTCAAAAATCCTCAACAAAATACTAGCAAATGGAATTCAACAATACATTTTAAAAAATCATACACCATGATCAAGCGGGATTTATTCCTGGGATGCAAAGGTAGTTCAATATTTGCAAATCAATCAACATGATACATCACATCAATAAGAGAAAGAATAAAAACCATATGATCATTTCAATAGACACAGTAAAAACATTTGACAAAATACAACATCCATTCATGATGAAAATCCTCAACAAGGTAGTCTAGAGAGAAAATACCTCAACATAATAAAGGCCATATATGAAAAACTCACAGTGAACATAATACTCAATGGGGAAAAACTGAGAACTTTCCCCCCAAGGTCAGGAACAAGACAAGGATGTCCACTCTCACCACTTTTAGCCAACATAGAACTGGAAGTCCACTACTCCAGACAACATAAAGAAATAAAAGGCATCCAAATTGCTAAGGAAGAAGTTAAAATCTCACTATTTGCAGATGACAAGATACCATATATAGAAAACCCTAAAGACTTCACCAGAAAACTACTAGAACTGACAAATGAATTCAGTAAAGTCACAAGATACAAAATCAATGGTTCAGAAATCTGTTGCATTTCTATATGCCAATAATGATACATCAGAAGGATAAATTAAGAAAATAATCCCATCTACAACTGCACCCAAAACAATAAAATATCTAGGAAGAAACTTAACCAAAGAGGTGAAAGGCCCATAATCTGAAATCTATAAAACACACTGATGAAAGAAATTGAGGATGACACAACGAAATGGAAAGACATCACGTGCTCATGGATTGGAAGAACAAATATTGTTAAAATGTCCATACTACCCAAAACAACCTACAGATTTTTTTAAAGATTTTATTTATTTATTTGACAAGATTTAATGCAATCTCTATCAAAATACCAACAGCATTTTTCACAGAACTAGAATGAAGAATCCTAAAGTTTGTATGGAACAACAAAAGACCCCGAATAGCCAGAGGAATGTTGAAAAAGAAAAGCAAAGCTGGCGGCATCACAATTCTGGACTTCAAGCTCTATTACAAAGCTGTCATCATCAAGACAGTATGGTCCTGGCACAAAAACAGACACATAAATCAATGTAATAGAATAGAGAACCCAGAAATAAAACCCACAATTATATGGTCAATTGATTTTCAACAAAGCAGGAAAGAATATTGAATGGGAAAAAGTCTCTTCAACAAATGATGTCAAGAAAACTGGATAGCAACATGCAGAAGAATGAAACTGGACCACTTTCTTTCACCATACACAAAAATAAACTCAAAATGGACTAAAGACCTAAATGCGAGACCTAAACCATAAAAATCCTAGAAGAGAGCATAGCCAGTAATGTCTCTGACATCAGCTTTAGCAACATTTTTCTAGATATGTCTCTTGGGACAAGGGAAATAAAAGCAAAAATAAATTATTAGGACTGCACCAAAATAAAAAGCTTACACACAGCAAAGGAAACAGTCAACAAAACTAAAAGGCAACCTATTGAATGGGAGAAGATATTTGCAAATGACATATCTGATAAAGGGTTAGTATCCAAAATATATAAAGAATCTACACAACTCAACACCCAAAGCAAATAATCCAATTAAAAAATGGGCAGAAGACATAAACAGACATTTCTCCAAAGAAGGCAATCCAGATGGCCAACAGACACACGAAAAGATGCTCAACATCACTGATCATCAGGGAAACACAAATCAAAACTACTATGAGATATCACCTCACACCTGTCAGAATGGCTAAAATCAAAAACACAAGAAATAACAGGTGTTGGCGAGAATGTGGAGAAAAAGGAACCCTCGTGCACTGTTGGTGGGAATGCAAACTGGTGCAGCCACCGTGGAAAACAGTATGAGGTTCCTCAAAAATTTAAATATAAAACTACCCTATGATCTAGTAATCACAGTACTGGGTATTTACCCAAAAAATACAAACACTAATTCAAAGGGATACATGCACCCCTATGTTTATACCAGCATTATTTACAATAGCCAAATTAAGGAAGCAGCCCAAGTGTCCATCAATAGATGAGTGGATAAAGAAGAGGCAGTATTTATATATATAAAATGGAATATTATACAGCCAAAAAAAGAATATAATCTTGCCATTTACAACAACATGGATGGAGCTAATGAGTATAATGCTAAGTGAAATAAGTCGGAGAAAGAAAAATACCATTTGATTTCACTCATATGTGGAATTTAAGAAACAAAACAAATGAGCAAAGGGAAGAAAAAAGAGAGAGAGACAAACCAAGAAACAGACTCGGAACTATAGAGAACACATTGCTGGTTACCAGAGGGGAGGTGGGTGGAGGGGTGGGTGAAGTAGGTGCTGGGGATTAAGAGCACACTTACCATGAACACTGGGTGATGTTGCAAGTGTTGAATCACTATACTGTACACCTGAAACAAATATAATGGTGTATGTTAACTATATTGGAATTAAAATTTTAAAACTAATTTTAAAAAGATAGAAAGGTTTGTAAACTTAAACAAACACAAAAAACAAAAAGGATTGTAGGTAGATCAATGATTTTTTTTGTACGGTAAGAAAAATGCTACTCAATTATATCTTGGCATTTCAAGGCCAAAAAAAATTTTTTTTCCATATGGGGTAAATTCACTTCTCTGTCCCCATGACAGCTTCACCTTTGTGGTGTAAGATCAGTTTTGAAGAAATGGGGTGATGTGCTGAATTTGCCTCAAAGGGAGAATGGTGAAAAGCCAAGGCTGGGGGTGGGGGGCAGCCCACCCACACTCAGTGTCCCATATTTATTGAGCTTCTGAGTATGAGGTCCCAGGAATACTGCCCTACAGAGGCACCTGACTTAGGTCTCTAAGGGAAGATACCTTCCTAAGGGAATGAAGACTATACCGGAGTGCCAAACTTACATATTGACAGACTGGAGCTGCTGCAAAAACACAGGTTTCTGCAGAGCTGGGGAGGCTGCCCTGTCCCAGGAGGCATTTTTCTGGCTCTAATGTTCTACCGAGCAAGAAGTTAATGAATTAATAAAAGTGTGATCACAAGAACTTCAGAACCTCTTATGTTGCCGGTCACAAGCTTGACAAGGCAATATGTTCCCTGCTTTATGTTACATTAAATTGTCAAAGTTAGAGAATAAAATAAAATAAACACAAAGTGTACATAAAGAGGATAAAGGAAACAAGAAAAAAGAAAGAAATATGTTTGTGGGGAGCGGAGACCTTACTTTGCAGGAGGGTTAGATTACAGCTTTTCTGAGAGGGCAGACATTTAAGCTGAGAAGTGAGAGCCACACGATGAGAAAGAGCTGACCTTGCAAAAAGCAGAGACAGTGTTAACTGGCATAAGAGAGAGCGTGTGCAAAGGGCCTGAGACAGGAAACCCTACTGATGTTCCAAGAACTGAAAAAAGACCGGTGAGGTTGCAGTGTGGTGAACAAGCGAGAGAAGGCGCTTAAATCGCTTAAATCTTGTATCACAGAGTTGGGGGAGGGTCCCTATTACAGGTCCACGGCAGAGGAGTAGGCGAGTTCACCGATTTGGCTGCCCAGGACGACCCTAGAGTCAGAACAGGATGGAAACCTCGAGCAAAGGCGAAGGCCTGCTGGGGGCGCTCAAGTCCCTCCTCCACCCGCACCCCTAACCCCCAGCCCCCGCAGGTCAGCTGTGGGGCTTCCTCCGCGGTTCGCCCTCCAGTCCTTGTCCGGAGACGGGAGCCCCAGCCCTGACTAGCCCAGGGCCCCAAGCCGATGCCTGGGTGGAGAACGCCTTCCTCCCACCTCTGGGCTCCCACCTACGGGGCAGGCTGGCTGTCGGCCCCAGCGCCCGAGGTCGGAAGCGCGGCCAGCAAGAAATGGGGTCCCCGCGGTCCGGGCGGTCCTGGAGGCTGAGCCCTTGCTCCGCCCCAGAACCCCATCCTCGGCTTTTCTCAGCCGAAGCGAGGGGTCACCCCCGCCAACACACACGCGCGCGCGGGGGGGGGGAGCTGGGGCCCAAGCCTGGGGCGGTCTCTGCCTGCAGAGAGCGGAGAACCGGGCCCCGGCCTGGAAAAAGCGCCCCAGTGCCAGGCTTTCCTCCTGTGCGTCCGCAGCCGTCTGTTGACCAGGGCAGGCCTACCTGCCCCCACCTCCTTTTCTTTCACTACGAGGTCTTGCGGGGACCCACGGCCCATGGAAAAGGGGAGAAGGCAGCCCAAGAAATGCTGGGTAAAGCTCAGCGCGCGCACCCACAAACTGCTGGGCTCGGGCGCCCGCACCCCTCAGTAAACCCGAGGGCGCACGTCGTCGGGATGCCACGGAACCCTCTGGAATCTCAGCGTGCCCCCACTGGGAGAACGTCGGAGTTGCAAGGCACTTTCAGAGGCGGATTCCCTTAGAGATGCAGCTCCCCGACGGCAGGTCAGGGCTCGCCGCGGGGCGCCGATTACTGCCCTTCGGAATACTTCCTCCGAGTCCTACCCACAGCACCGACGCACAGATCCGAGAAGAAGCCTGCGCTAGCGGGGCCCACGTTGGCGGGCAGCAACGCCGGAGAGGAGCTCGACTGCCTCCAGAAAAGGCGGGGCCGCAGGGGCTGTGCAGACCCCGCCTCGAGGCTCGGCCGCTGGCGGGCTTCTCTGCAGCCACCCGCGCCCGCGGCTGCTCCCGAGTGGCTGGCGGCGCCGCGCGTACTTCCCCGCGCTTTTCCGGTCCCAAGAAAGCCTGTTGACCGTTCTGTCCCTCCTACCTGTTCCTGTATCTCCTTGTCCCTACCAGCCCCTCTGTGCGCCAAGTGTCCCCCACCCCCAACGCAGAGGACTGTATCTGCTCCGATGGGGACGCAGTTGGGCAGCTCTTCCTTCTCCGCAGGGCGCAGGCGGTTACTCAACCTAGGTACCCATATTTCCGGTGTCCTAGGCTGGGTTACAAAGGAAAAGAGGCCACTAAGAACAAAAAGTGAAAACGTATTCTTTCCCATGTTGACTCCACCAGAAAATGGAAATCCTGTCTAACTTCCCACCCGCAGACCATCACCTTCTATATTGATCTGATTCCAAGACTTCTAATTCACTGGCTCCGGTGACTTTTTCACTTTCTATCACTCCTCTCATAATTTGTTTAAAGTGGACTATAATCGACATAATAAGCTGCACATATTTTTTTTAATGAAATCTTTTTTTTTTTAAGATTTTATTTATTTATTTGAGAGAGAGAGAATGAGAGAGAACACATGAGAGGGGATAGGGTCAGAGGGAGAAGCAGACTCCCCGCTGAGCAGGGAGCCCGATGCGGGACTCGATCCCAGGGCTCCAGGATCATGACCTGAGCCGAAGGCAGTCGCTTAACCAACTGAGCCACCCAGGCGCCCTAAGCTACACATATTTAAAGTATACAGTTTGATAAGCTTTGACATATGTACACTCCTATGAAATCATCACTATGGTCAAGATAATGAACGAATCTACCACCTCCAAAAGTTTTCTTGTGTCCCTTGGTAATCCGTCCCTCCCAGGCAACCACTGGTCTTTTTGCCACTACAGCTTAGTTTGTGCTTTCTAGAATATTATACAAATGGAATCATACAGTATGCACTTTTTTGTCTAGTTCCCTTTACTCAGCATAAATATTTTGCAATTTATTCATGTTCATGTATCTCGATACGGACATTCAGTTTTCATTGCTAAGTCATGTTCCATTGTACCACAATTTATAAATCTGTTCAAATCCATTCACCTGTTGGTGGGCATTTCAGTTGTTTCTAGTTATTGGCTATTACAAATAAAACTGCCACGAACATTCATGCACAAGATTCTATATGGATGTATATTTCTTTTTCTCTTGGGTAAATACCTAGTAATGGAATAACTGGATCATATGGTAAGTAGTGTTTAACTCTTTAAATCACTGCCAAAATGTTTTCCAAAGTGGGGTTCTCATTTCATATCCCCAGCAGCATTGTATGAGAGTTTCAGTTTCTCCACATCCTCACCAACACTTAGTTTGGTCAGTCTTTTAATTTGTATTTCCTTATTGACTCTCCTTATTGACTACTGATGTTGAGCATCTTTTCACATGCTTTATTTTGCCATTAGTAGATCTTGTTTTTTCTTGGTGAAGTATCTGTTCAAATCTTCCCCATTTAAAAAATTGTGTTTTCTTATTACTAAGTTTATAGTTATTTAAATATTCTAGACACAAGTCCTTTATCAGATATACGATTTGCAAATTTTTTCCCAGTCTGTGACTTGTCTTTTCACTCTCTTAACAATGACTTCAAATAGCAGAAATGTTTAATTAAAAAAAAAAAGAAATGTTTAACTTCAATAAATTCAAATTTGTCTGTTCTTTCTTTTATGGATCATATTTTGATGTCATATCTAAGAAATCTTTGCCTAACCCAAGGTCACGAAGATTTTCTCCTGTGCTTTCTTCTACAAGTTTTATATTTTTAGGTTTTACATTTTACATTTAGGCCTATGATCCATTTTGCGTTAAATTTTATATGTGGTGCAAAGACTGAAGTTCTTTTTTTCCTTTTTTTTTTTTTGCATGTGGATATCCAACATTTACAGCCCCTTCTGTCACATTGCCTTTGCATCTCATAAAAAATCAGTTGTCCAGGGGCCCCTGAGTGGCTCAGTCAGTTAAACGTCTGACTCTCGATTTTTGGCTCAGTTCATGATCTCCAGGTCATGGGATCCAGCCCAGCATTGGGCTCAGTGCTCAGCATAGGGTATGCTTGGGATTCTCTCTCTCCTTCTCCCTCTGCCCCTCCCCCGGCTTGTGCTCTCTATATGCATAAATAAATAAATAAATACATACATACATAAAATCTTTAAAGAAAAAAATTAGTTGTCCATATACATGTGTGTGTTTATTTCTGAAACTCTATTCCGGTCTACCTTTACACCAATACCACACCATCTTGATTACTATAGCTTTATAAGACTTGAAATCAAGTAGGGTTAGTTCTCCAACTTTGTTGTTTCTCAAAGTTGTTTTGGCTATTCATGGTCCTTTGCATTTCCACATGAATTTTATTTATTTGTTTGTTTGCTTGTCTGTTGGTTTTATTTTATCCGTTCCCCGACATACTTCCTCTCTGGCAACCATCAGTATGTTCTCCATATTTAAGAGTCTGTTTATTTTGCTTGTTTGCTCATTTGCTTTTTTTTTTTTTTTTTTAGATTCCACATATAAGTGAAATCAGATGGTATTTGTTTTTCTCTGTCTTATTTCACTTAGCATAATACCCTCCAGGTCCATTCCTGTTGTAGCAAATGGCAAGATCTCATTCTTTTTTGTGACTGAGTAATACTCTATTATATATATTGTACCACATCTTCTTTACCCATTTATCTATCGATGGACACCTGGGTTGCTTCTATATCCTGGCTACTGTAAACAATGCTGCAAAAAATGTAGGAGTGCATGTATATTTAGAATTCATGGTTTTATTTTCTTTGGGTAAACACCCAGTAGTGGAATTACTAGATGATATGGTATTTCCATTTTTTTAAAGATTTTATTTATTTATTTATTTGAGAGAGAGTAGGGATGGGAAGAACAGAGGGAGAGAATCCCAAGCAGACTCCCTGCTGAGCACGAAGCCCAATGCAGGGCTTGATCTCACAACCCATGAGATCATGACCTGAAATGGAAACCAAGAGTTGGAGCCTTACCGACTGAGCCACTCAGGCGCCCCATAGTAGGTCTATTTTTAATTTTTTGAGGAACCTCCACACTGCTTTCCACAGTGGTTGCACCAATTTTCATTTCCACCAACAGTGCACAAGGGTTCCTTCTTCTCCACAGCCTCACCAACACCTGTTATTTCTTATCTTTTTGATTCTTGCCATTCTGACTGGTGTGAGGTGATATCTGACTGTGGTTTTAGAATCAGCTCCTCAATATCTATTTTTTGAAAAAGGCCGATGGGACAGCAGTTCTGCTATAATGCTTGTTTTGAAAACTTGAATTTGTTCCAACACAATTGATATATTAGGGAATAATTTGAACATAACTTAGGTGCAATTTCTTCTGCAAGAAGCACTAGGAGAATCTCAGCTGCACACCAGCTGAGAATAAGGCTTTGAAGGAGCTCCAACATGCTGGCGTTCACCATGTTTGTCACTGTTGGTTTGTTTTGTTTGGTTTGGTTTTTCACTGTTGGTTTTTAAGACTATGCAGAGCTAGAGAGAGGGGATGAGAACATGGCAAGTTAAAATCCCACAACGCTCACTGCTCTTATCAAGAGTCAGCTGTTTTTTCTTGAATAAACACTCCCTAAGTTGCTGCAAACCTTTGATTAATTTCCAGAGTTATGAAAAAGTTGCTTCTGATAATTTTTGCCAGTTTCTCATTGCTTTTACGGAGGAGAGAATTTTCAGAGGTCCTTACAGCACCATTTTCATTGACATCACTTCCTCCCTTCACGTCAACTTTCCTTCACAGCCAGCCCTGGTGCCATGTCCAGACACCAGCGGCTGCCTCATGTTCTCGTGTCCCTCTTGCCTTCCTCTCTTCTGTCATACTCTTTACTGCAGGATCCCCATCCTGATCACACCTGGTTGCCTTCTTACTCCAAGCCTGCACATAAGTAACTGAATTTTGCTGGAGGAAACCATAAAACCTTACTCAAGTGAGCATTCCACAAAAGCAGACAGTCTTACTATAATTAATCAATACTTTCCCTCTCTTAAAGAGAAGTAGAGAAATGGGTATTGATTCCTAAGTTTTCAGTTCCCATGCAGTATCACAGATATATGTATCTCATTTCCTGCCCTCAGATGCTGATGAGATTAACTGTTTTATCCTTATTGTCTGTTGAATCTTTCTCCATACTCTTGCCAATTATTTTAGTTTGCATTCTTTAACTAATAATGAATAATAATTTCTTCAGGTTAAATGTTTCCTTTTTAGTAAATTGCTTGCTAATGTCCTAAATCCTTTAATAAATTGCTTGTTTATGTCCATTTTCCATCAAGGTTTTTTTTTTTTTCAAGATTTTATTTTTAAGTGGGGTGCCTGAATGACTCAGTCGGCTAAGCATTTGACTCTTGGTTTCGGCTCAGGTCATGATCTCATGGGTCATGGGATCAAGCCACATGTGGGGCTCTGCACTCAGCAGCGAGTCTGCTTGAAGATTCCCTCTGCCTCTCCTCCCACTCACTCTCTCTCTCTAAAATAAATCTTAAAAAAAAAAAAGATTTTATTTTTAAGTAATCTCTACACCCAACATGGGGCTAGAACTCACGACCCCGAGAGAGGAGTCACATGTCCTACCAACTGAGCCAGCCAGGCACCCCAAGGTATGTATTATTTTTCTTGTTGTCATATATGTTGCAAATCAACAAGTTTGTGTATGTGTGTTTTACTTTGGAACCGAAAGCAAATACTATTGGTCAGAATTGGTGTTTCTTAATGACATTTAAACAACACAACTCGTAATGTCCTATACCTCTTTGTATCCCAATGAGCTAAAAATGTTCCTCATACAAAACATAAAGGAGGTTCAAAATTTACTGTGGATGATGACTGAAATGATACAGGAATATCTTGGAGCAAAAGGTTCCTAATTCCCAAAGGCTGTTTTCTAGAGAAGACAGCCTGGCAAATGCTTGACATAGTCTTGTAGAATTTAAGAACCAGAAGAAAGTTTAGGAGATGATATATTTCATTCTGGGCAATTTAAGAAAATTTAAGATAATGTAAGAAAATTTAAGGGGCGCCTGTGTGGCTTAGTCAGTGAAGCGTCCAACTCTTGATTTTGGCTCAGATCATGATCTCAGGGTCGTGAGATTGAGCCCCATGTTGGGCTCTACCCTGAGCATGGAGCCTGCTTAAGATACTCTCTCTCCCTCTCCTTCGACCCCTCCCCCTACCACTCTCACATGCTCTCTCTGTCTCTCTCTAAAATAAAAGAAAAGAAAAATTTAAGATAATTTAAAAATTACATTAAGAAATTTAAGAAAAGGATAACCAGCTAAAGAAAGTGTAGGGAATAATAAAGTTTCCAGGTAAAAAAAGATCTTGAGAAAATTTTATTCCAACCTATCATTTATTAAATGAGCCCCAGAAAAAGGAAATGACTAGTCAAAGATACACATCTAGTTAGAATCTCACTGGTTATTCATGAAATGAATGGACTTCAAATTGCAAAGTTAGACTCCAGTCTAGAAAGATGAAAGCCAAATGAACATAGGATGCGGATAGGGTAAATGTAGATACTTCTTTTTTTTTTTTTAAGATTTTATTTATTTATTTGACAGAGAGAGACAGCAAGAGAGGGAACACAGCAGGGGGAGTGGGAGAGGGAGAAGCAGGCTTCCTGATGAGCAAGGAGCCCGATACGGGGCTCGATCCCAGGACCCTGGGATCATGACCTGAGCCGAAGGCAGACGCTTAACGACTGAGCCACCCAGGCACCCTGGATGTAGATACTTCTTGAGACTGAAGCATTTAAATTTGAGATCAACCAATGAAATACTACTTATATGTTTAGTAGGCTACTGCCTAAGAAAAGTTAGGAATACTTACACACACGCACATAGATATTTGATTACCATTTGAAACAAAATAGAAGAATAAACCATAAAATTTGTACAAATGTTATCTATGAGGGAGAAGGGAGTAGCATGGAGAGTACAGATCTGATTTTATGTAAGTATTTTACATAATCATAAAAGAAAAGTAAAAATTATTCTCTAAAACAACAGTGAAATAAAACAAATGAATTCAACTGTAGATTGAATTGGTGGCATAACCACACAGAGGAACTATTCTAAGTATCTTTAAAACAAGTAATTCAGGTATATATCCCCAGTGGGATGTAACCCAAGGACAAAAACTCTGCAAAAAAATATATTTTTAATTGTTTTTAGTAATCATATCAGTACTGGTATTGGTATTATTTTTCAGAAGCTACTGTGTAGGTGGTGTCAGGTAAAACAAGTAATCATACTGGTGTTGTCAAAAACACTAGGACTTGGAGCATGAGAGAAAGGAGATTGTAAGGAGATGTAGAATCATTGGGGTCAATAAAAACACTGAAGTTCTGAATTGTGACTGGAACATCAGTATGCACTCAATGTATTTTATGTTACTGAAAAGGCTTGGAAATGATGACCAGTCCAGCAGCAATGAACACTTTAAGAGCCCAGATTGTGGTGTTATAAATCCTTTTATCTGCTAAAAGCGATTACAGCTCCTTTGAGAAATGACTGATTCCAGGTCTGGGGCAGAAGATGTTCAAAATTTCCTGGAACATCTTGTCATGCCAGAAAGCAGAGGAGCCATCAGAGTACTAGGGTTGTATCAAAAGATCTCAGAAACTAATTTGAATTGGCTCCTGCAGGTCAAAGATGGGACATTTTTAATATCAATAAGGGTGATGTTTGCAGTGGAATAAAACACATAAAATAGGCTTAAACCGGGGCGCCTGGGTGGCTCAGTCGTTAAGCGTCTGCCTTCGGCTCCGGTCATGATCCCAGGATCCTGGGATCAAGCCCCGCATCCAGCTCCCTGCTCCGCGGGAAGCCTGCTTCTCCCTCTCCCACTCCCCCTGTTTGTGTTTCCTCTCTCGCTGTGTCTCTCTCTGTCAAATAAATAAATAAAATCTTTAAAAAAAATAGGCTTAAACCCATACATTCATAACACCTTTTAAAATATCTCATCAGGGTGCCTGGGTGGCTCAGTCGTTGGGCGTCTGCCTTCGGCTCAGGTCATGATCCCAGGGTCCTGGGATCGAGTCCCACATCGGGATCCTTGTTCCGCGGGAAGCCGGCTTCTCCCTCTCCCACTCCTCCTGCTTGTGTTCCCCCTCTCTCTGTGTCTCTCTCTGTCAATAAATAAATAAATAAATCTTAAAAAAATAAATAAAATATCTCATCAATCACCTTTAGAGAATGCTAGTATAATAACTCATTGATTTAAAAACTGGTAAATGGCGGGACAGAATCAAGCATTAATTCTGCCTTTCCTCTATAAAATGCAGCTCAGATTCATCAAATCACGGTGAGCGGAAATTCCTATTTGTAAAAGTATTCTAGCTAAAAAATGAATAAATAATGTTAGACTTAGAATATCACTATTCTGCAATACTAATGAATTAATGAAGCTAGGCAATGATCATCAATAACTACTAACATCACAGAAAAACAGCTAGTATCATATGCTTCTTGATGAAACATACCACCACCATCTATGATGTGACCTTACTAAGACAAGGAATAATAACAATAAACCAGAATCTGATCAAGTCTCTAATCTTAATTCGTATTTTCAAGTCAGTGGGATCTCCACGAGGGCCAGGGCCAAAATACCTGCACATGACTCCCAGTGAGCCTGCCTGGATTGTCCACAGACCAGTGGCTTGGGTTCCAAAAGCAAGAATCCTAGAGATTGAGAAAACCTGGTTGAATAAATTCTATTTTCATGCTAACTCACCTTCAAGAGTGGTTAAAACATACCACCCATATGCACTGAGTGTTCCGCAAAAGTTCTTCTGACATTGAGGCTAGAAGCCCTTAAAAGCTAAGGACAAAAAGGGTCTTCTGAAGACCTAAGAGAAGAACCTGCATCTGTGGGGAAGCACAGGGACTCAAGATAAATCCATCTGTAAGCAACAGGAGCGGGCTCCACTTGTTCCATGAACTTGCTTGCAATCCTTCTCACTTATGAGACCTGTAGACAGAGGCTCCGCCTCCTATCCTAAGAATTACAATCTATGGGAAAGGTACTATTTATTTTCCAGGCAGGAACCCACTAGTCTTGGCAGACAGGCTTTGGGATCTGAAGCCCAACCCCATGAGGCTGATCACTTGTCTGCATGCCCTGTAAGAATGGTCTTCATGGAATGCAAGGAAGCTTGCATTGTATTTGCCCAAGTCCTTGTGCTAAACCCAGCACAAACAGAGCTCAATTCAGCACCAATGGTGATAATGTGTATAAAGTGTTGCCAATCAGGGATACCAAAACTTTGGGATCCAAAGTTTTATTGGGGGTCAGTCACATAGGCATGCAGTGCCCGTGTAACTGACCTTAACCAGTCAATCTCCAGCCCCCAGAGGTCAAACTTGTCTCAAGATCTTGGGCATACAAAGCCACTTTTATCAAGCAGGATACTGCAAGGGCTCAGAGTTCATTTCCCAGGAACCAGTCAAGGACCAGTCCCAAAGACTTTTGAGATGTACACAGTTTGAGCAAGCAAGTCCTCCTGAGTTAACCATTTACTGACACTCATCTAGCACATATTACATGTCACCCTTTATTTTTTTTTAAGATTGTATTTATTTATTTGAGAGAGAGAGAGAGAGCAGGGTTGGGATGGGAAGGGTGAGGAAGAAGCAGATTCCCTGTGGCACAGGGAGCCCGATGCCGAACTCGATCCCAGCACCCTGGGATCATGACCTGAGCCAAGGGCAGATGATTAAACCACTCAGCCACCCAGGTGCCCCATGTCACCTTTTATTCTTAATGACATTTTTACCATGTAGGTGGTGTCTCCCCAGCTAGGATGGAGGCCAACATAAGAGAAGCAACTGCCATAACTTTTAGTATCTCGGGGGCTTGAAGAATTCCATATATTAGCAGATAGATGCCCAATAAATAATCATATTTTACAATCATGTCAGTGGCCCTTGCTCAGGTTGCTCTGTGCCTAGGATATCCTTCTAGATCCCTTCTACCTATTATCACTACTCCTAGCTGTCCATCAGTACACAAACCAATTTGTAGTTTCTTGTGAGATCTTCCCCAACTGTTCTGGCCCATATTAAGGTTTTTCTTCCCTAAATTCTTGACATATTTCCTGTCCAGATAATCGATGTGACTTTTTATTATATTCAACCTTGAAATGTTACTTAGCTTTCATAGGACTAAGGCTCTTCTCCCAACTAGACTCTAAGCTTCTGGAGAAAAAGGACCGGATTGTACTTGGTTTTTTGCCTTCCCTTTGATGCCCAGATGCTATGATCTGAATGTTCCTGTCCCCTCAGAAGTCATATGTTGAAACCTAATCTCCAATGTGATCGTGTTTTGATGTGGTTAGATCATGGAGGCAGGGCCTTCATGAATGGGATTAGTGCCCTTATAAAAGAAGCCCTAGGGAGACGCCCTGCTTCTTCCACCATGTGCTGTTACAGTTACAAGATGCTGTTTATGAACCAGGAGGAGGGCCTTCACCAGACCCTGAATTTGCTGGTATTTTGGTGTAGCAGCCCAAACAAACTAAGGCACCAGGTCAGGGCCTTAATATAGTAGCTATTAAATAAATATGAGATGGTCACTGAAGATAGACATTCCCTTCTTCTCTGGGCCTTTTTAACTTCTCTCTGCTGAGGCCAGACCAGTGCTTCATAAACAGGTGGAAAGAGAGAATGCTTTGCAGAGAAATGAATTATAGGAATGAATACTCAGCACAGAGTTTTTGCAAAGACTAAAGCTTTTTATTCCGACCCGGAGTCATCAATTTTCTGAAGATGTTACTCTGAGCCCTTGGTGGAGAGGACAGCCTCATTGATGCTCTGAGTGATATAATCTATGTTGCAGGCATTGATACAGCTGAAGTTGATCCGACCATTCTTGGGAAGGTAGATATGCTTTTTCTTGACCAGGTATTCCACCTGTTGGACTGGTGATCATCCCAGGGTCTGAGATACTAACTCCCCTCTAGCCCAGGGTGGATTAGAGGTCATAGGAAGTGCCAGCATTTCTGGGGATCCAGAAGGGTCTTTAAAGCAACTCTACTTCCCTCAAATCAAACAGCTAGGGACTGGTCACCTAGTCAGTGAAGCTTAATGCTCAAATACAATCCCAAGGTCAGAAAAGGGGGAGCTACCCCCTCCTAGACACTTACAGTTGAGTCCAAGATAGCTATGGGGCCCATTCTGGTCTGTGATATGATCCCAGGAACCAGGCGTTCCCAGGAGCCGGAGCTTCTCCTTCACCTTTTCCTTGATCAGCATGATGTTCTCTACAAGCCCTTTCAGACTCTGCTTCCTGCCAAAGAAAAGACAGCAAGAAATTAAAGTATGAGGTTTCCCTGCTGTCAAGCTCCTCATTGCCATTGCACTCTTCTTGCCTTCAAAAGCCCCAAGGATAGTGCCCGAGGGCATACTGGTGGAGCCCAGAATCTGATTACAAGTGGGAGAGGAGTTTCAGCCCATGTTAATTTAAGCCAGCCACGCAGGCTTGTAGGCAGATTTTGCCAGAGTAGCAAGTCCTTGATGCTGCCTAATCTCCTGCAATCTGGAAGACTTCAAATAATTCATTGGCCTATGTCCCAAAAGAATGTCCTCTTGCCCACTCCCCCAAGGTGTTGGTACACAATGAGTCCTCAGCAAATGTTGATGAATGAATGGAGTCAAAGAGGCAACTGGGCAGGAAGAATCCTGTGAATGGGCAAGTCTATATGTATGTCTAGAGGCTCTGCCATCCCTTCCCGCCCCCACCCTTTGCCCTTACCATTCTTCCTGAAGAGCAGGGTTACAGAGGACGGAGGTGATAATGCGAGCCCCCGTAGTAGGGGGGTTTAGCCACAGGGCCTGGGTGAGTTTCATCAGTTGGGAGAGGACGCATAGCAGGAGCTGGTTGCTGAGTGCTACCACGACCAGGATCCCAACTCCTTCATCTGCAGCATTGGGACAGACAACCCCTCAGTCTCCTTCTCCATTACCAGGGCCTTCCCTGATGACTTTACCTCCAACCTTGCAGAAGAGAGGGTTGGACTACCGGGCCCCCCTCCCAGCCCAGCCGAGCAGGTATCCAGATCCCAGGAAGTTGCCAGAGCCTCTTCTTCCAGAAAAAAGTAGCTATAAATAAGAGTCTCAAAGATGGGGGATGCCTGGGTGGCTCAGGCAGTTGGGTGTCTGCCTTCAGCTCAGGTCATGATCCCAGGGTCCTGGAATCAAGTCCCGCTTCGGGCTCCCTGTTCAGCGGGGAGCCCGCTTCTCTCTCTACCTGCTGCTCCCCCTGCTTGTGTTCTCTCTCTCTCTCTGACAAATAAATAAATAAATAATCTAAAAAAATTAAAAATAAATAAAATGTAAAGAGTCTCAAAGATGGGAAGCACTTGAAAGATCACCAAGCCCTCCCCCTCACCTTATAGCTGAGGAAAGAGAGGCCCAAAGGGGCAAAATGATTTCGCAGGAGTCAGTCTTGGGGCACCTGGTTGGCTCAGTCAGTTAAGCGTCTGGCTCTTGATTTCAGCTCAGGTCATGATCTCAGGGTCATGATATCAACCCCCCTGAGTTTCTCTCTCTCCCTCTCCCTCTGCCTCTCCTCCCTCTCTCCCTCTCTAAAATTAAATAAATAAATAAATAAATAAATAAATAAATAAATAAATAAAATTAAAAAAAAAACTGGAGTCAGTTTTAGTAGCTAGTTTTAGGAACTGAGCTGAGACAATACCGCAGAACCTGACTCGTACCTCAGTGCTCTTCCCTTCTGCCTCCATGGTACTCTCTCTGGAGGCCTTGGCTCTCTCCAGAGGGTAGGAGATATCAAGCACAACGTTTATGCCATGGCTAAGGCACCACGTCAGCACGAGGCCTTCCCCTCCCCTTTGGCCCATTCCGTACCATAGATGCCAAAAGTCTTGGACAGAGACTGGCTGCAGAAGAACTCAAAGCCTTGAGACACGAAGTACTGTAAGAATCCAGTATCTTCTTCCAAGTCCCCGGTGGATAAACCTTGATTGGGAATGTCAAAAAATGGGAATATCTGCTTGCTCTGTAGGAGAAAGAAGATTGGAAAAAGGATGAAGTTGGTGGAGGAGATGGTAGATGGCGAGAGGGAAGAAAGTCCGGCGGATGTTGGGCTCACCTTCATGCTGGCCATCAACCTTGCCCACTGACTTTGTGTCAAGTTGCAGTCACCAAGGTTCCCAATCACGAAGATACAGCCATGTGGGGCCTGCTGCAGGTAGACACTGTCTCATCAGGCACTTCCCCTACCAAGTGGGAGTGGCACTAGGGCATATGGAGGAGAAATCATCCTCCATGTTGGTTCCTACTAAAGGGCCAGGCAAATCCAAGCCTAGAAAAGGCCTTTCATGACAACAGGGGTGGTGGGGATGAAAGGAAAATAAAACTGTAATCGGGTCTGCGGAGAAGTTTCTGAGCGGGGCCCCTCTACCTCTACCACATCGAGGAGCACGTTGGAGTCTATGCACAGCTGCTTGGAGTCCCAGAAGGAGTATTCACAAACTGTAAAGCCCATGTCCTGGAAGACGAGTCCATAGGGTTCTGTGGGAACACAGCCCCCCTCCAGCTGGTACTGAGAAAATGGAGGCAGACACGCCAGGGAATGGGTCTGAGGGTCACTGGTGGAAGGTGGGACAATAACAGGAAAAGGACAAGCATACTTGGCTTGTCTACCATCTTGCTCATGACAGAGAGTGAGAAGGGCAACAGTGAAGATTGCAAATGGGGTGGGACTCAGGAACAGGAGAGAGGGACCTTCTGTCACCCCCGTTTTGCATAATAACTCACCTTTTTTGGAAGAAATAATGTACACTATTTGAGAATCCTTTCGCCAGATTTTGAGGAACTGGGCCCCAAGTTGGAAGGCTCCATTGTCACCAACCGAGTGCACACCCCCTACCTGCCAACAGAAAATAAACAGAAGTAACTCTTTAAAAGAGTGATAATGATGCTATTACTGCCTCAGGTTCAGATGATTCCTTCCTGGAAAGAACCTGTACATCAGCAATGTGGGCTGATGCAAAGAACAGTGGCTTCAGGTTCGGATCCTGGCTCTGTCCGCCACCGACCAAGTCTCCGGACTCTGAGTCTCCCGGCCCCCTCTGTCGATGCCAGGAAGCCCTCCAACGCCCCTTTCTGGATAAGGACTATGCAGCCCCGGAGCTCCACTCGCTGAGTCCGGGTGAGTCAGCAAAGGGCCCTTCATCTCACCCTGTTCTCCACAATGACTTGGCTGTGCTTTCCAAAGAGGAGCTTCAAGGAGGCCTCAGTGAATGATTTCATGCCCTTCACGGGCACATACTCGTAGTTCAGAGAGGGATCATACGCGATCTGCAGTCGGATCTTGGGCACCACGGAAGACACCCAAGGATGGCCCTCGCTGGTCATGCAGACTGTGAGGGAAGCCACAGAGGGAGCTCTGGATGCCCAGCCTCAGGGCCTCCGAGTCAGGGCTCTGCAGACAGCCCACAAACAAACATCGGGCCCAGCTTTCTTGGGGCTTTGGAAAGTTGCCCAGGAAAAGACAACTTTCTTTTTTTTTTCCTTCCCCTTTATAAAAACAATGTGCCGAGTGAATGTGTATAATTTTTGTCTTTTTAAAGAAGACAGCTGAAGCTTATGCCATTTTTTTTAAAACCTGCGTCATTTTAAAGGGCAAACATGACATACCACATGGGAGTTCTAGACCCATGAGGCTAAACAAAGGTAACCCCAACTTTCACAGTGGCTAGGGCTGGCTGCATTTCAGAAGGGTCCATTTGGGGAACCATTCTTAGTTCAGGAACAAAAGAGGAAGGGGAGGGGAGAAGGAAGAGGCTGAAGAAAGTAGAGTGCCCATGCAGACCCCGAAGCATCGAACTGGAGGAGAAGGCGTAGCTCTTACCAAATCCCCGGAAGCCCCCAGCTAAGGGCAAAGGGCACAGAATGACCCGGGACATTTTTTGCACTTTTCCCCACCGGGCAATTCTGTTAACAAGAACAGAGCTCTCCACTTGCAGAGGCGTGGCTACCTCCTGATTCCTCCGTGGCAAGGGCAGACTGTTCTCCTAGAGGCAGTCAGGATAAGAGTCTTAAAACGCTCCAAAACCGTAAGGCATCTACCTCTAAAGGCCAGGAAAATCTTGTTAGGACAATTGTCTTGCTTGTAGGTCTTTAACAAGCTGCCTTCTAGCCTCTGGGCTAGGGGCACATCCATGAACACCGAAAGGGTAGGCATCACTGAAATACAAGTACAGCCAAGCCTACTCTGTTCCCTGCTCCTGTTCCAGAGCCTTCCTCCAAGACCGGCCCAGCCAGGCCTGCCTCTTCCCGGAACCCTGGCAGATCCAATACAGAGGCTCTGGACACCTGGTCACCAGAGCAACAGAACCCTACAATCCCCAGTCTCCGTGGTGGCGATCCCCAAAGCCTATGGGAATATTCCATGGCAGTTGAGGAGGATCCCCTGAGAGAGTGGGCAGAGATGGGGGAGGAGGGAGGGAGGACCTGGAATTTCCAGGGACCTCTCTTTAACTCACTGCCTTCTCTGGCTCCCAGTTGCCCAATCCAAAGTAACAAGGCAGCCCTTGGAAGATAGGGCAAGCCCGGCAGCCCAGGAACCGGGTGCAGAAGTGAAAACCTCAGACCCAGCAGTAATGCAAGTTGAGGGATACATTTAAAAAGCTTCTACTTTTGTTTTGCTAAGGGCCCCACATTTTAAAAGGAATAGAAAGAAAGCACTGTTTCCTTCCATAGTTATTTTAAATAAAGAATCCTATGTTTAGAAACAGGATAAGCAGCAACTCCGCAAGCCAATCCTATTTTCTCTCAGTTCTAGAGCCAAGACTTCTACACTTGTTAACCTATTCATTGGTGGCCCAGCAGCAAGTGTAGATGGCAGAAATCAAGGGCGCAAAGAGCTGGCCTCTGTAGGATCAGTCTTGTGATTTGCTTTCTTTTTTTATTTTTTTAAAAATAACTTTGTAGGGGGCGCCTGGGTGGCTCAGTCGTTAAGCGTCTGCCTTCGGCTCAGGTCATGATCCCAGGGTCCTGGGATCGAGCCCCGCATCGGGCTCCCTGCTCTGCGGGAAGCCTGCTTCTCCCTCTCCCTCTGCTCCTCCACCTGCTTGTGCTCTCTCTCTCGCTGTGTCTCTCTGTCAAATAAATAAAATCTTTAAAATAAAATTTGTTTAAAAAAATAACTTTGTAAGTGATTGTTGTAGACACTGCTGGTGTCTCACGCAGATACCCTTTGCACGGCCCACCCCAAAAAGGTCAAGGCTAGACTTCACCTGGGACCACATCCTTGTAAGGCCTGTTTCCCCGTCACAATTCTGCTTCCTTACAGGTTCCTCCTACATTGTGCTCCCTCTGCAAATCGTGAGCCCCAAATCCCCTTCTCAGGCTATGCTTCCGGGGAACTCACCTTATGGCAAATGACTATGAAAATCATCCCTATAATTGTAGAAAACCTTAAAACCTCAAAAAACTATAATGACGAACACCGATTTGCTACAATCAATCTACAACCACACTTAACATTTTGGTGCACCCCCTTTCAGTTTCTCTTCTATGATGTTTATATTTTAAGACAATTGAAATCAAAATGTACATGTAATTGGCATCATACATTTTTCACTTCACATTTCAGTTGTGAGGATGCTAACATGTGCGCCAATCAGAACTGTTCCTGTTGCAAGTAATAAAAAACCCAAGCCACTAGCTTGAGCAAGAGAGATCTTTTATTGGCTCTATAACTGGGCAGGCCAGGGTACATCTGACTTCAATCGCAGTTCAGTCCCGAGTATCAACGTGTCACCAGAGCTCCAGCTTCATTCCCTGTGATTTCCTTGGCTCTGCTCTTCTGGATGCTTCAGCTTTGTTCTTCTGCTCTGGGCACAGGAGCAAAAGTGAATGTAGTGAGTGCAAAATGATACCCATTTGAAAGAAATTTACAACGCAGCTCTATTTGCAAATAAACAAAATGCCAATTACTAAAGGCATGTTTGAATTAATAATGGGACATCCATATAATAGAATTCTATGCAGCTCTTAAATGTAGCCCTCTGTGTACAGATGTGGAAAAATCTCCAAGATACCTCCGTAAGTAAAAACCAGGGAGGTACAAAATAGAGAGCAAAGTGGAGCCACATTTGGGGGGACATATGGGGGGGGGAATAAAAGATACATTTGCATGTATAGGCATGGAAAATCTCCGGAGGGATACACACCAGTAGCAGTTCTGCCTCTGGAAAGCAGAACTGAGTGGCTGATGGACAGGGATAGGGAAGAAAGCTGACTTGCTTTTCACTGTACGCCATTATGTACTTGGGAAATGCTAAACCAAACGCACAGATTTCCCATTCAAAAACCGTGTTCATGTTTTTAAAAATGGCTGCAGCCTTTTGGACATCACACCCTTACAGCCCAGAGGAAGGGAGAGCATCTTTTCTCATAGGCCCCTGGAAGAATGAGGACGTTTTCTTCCCTGAAGCCCCCAGCCTCCTTTTTCCTTTCTCTTGGCTGCAGTGAGTCACTGGCCCATCTCTGACCTTATCATGGCTGAGGATGGGATACTCTAGTGAGTTTAAGCCAACTACCTAGAGCTGAGGGTGGGGTGGATCCCTCCCAGACCACACAACTAAGAAAGGACAGAAGGTTTCCCTAAAAGAGATCTCAAGGGTTCTTAAAAATGGGAATGGGGGGAAGGGATGCTGGGAAGGCAGTCAGCAAGTGTTCACTGCATCATCCATTCTGAAGTCTTAAAAACCACCAGTTTTAATGCCTATTTTTATGTGTGTTGGCCTTGTACTTCCAAATCCGATAATCATTCAGGGTCCCCGTTGCTGTCTCAGCAGCCATGGGACGCAGGGAATGTTTTTCTCTGGACCACCCCAGGCTATAGACTGTGACAGCAGGTGGGCAGTCATCATGGAGGAGTTGGCTGGCTTGGGCCAGAGGCTCTGCCTGGGAGCTGATCAGCCATCTCTCGGCAGCCCAGGCACAAACATGGTTCAATTAACTAGAATAACCTGCCTTTTCCTACACAGTATGGACCACTAGCTGATCTTAGTCTTCCCCCATTGTTCCTGACTATTCTTAGGGTGTTCTTGTGTGACTTTGGGGAAAATTCTTTCACATTCATCCAGTCCTAGCCTCCTCGTCCACATCTGTTTCGCAGGACATCACTTGGGTGCGGCGTTTTCCCACTGCCACAGGTGCCCATTCTGACAACTACAGGACCTCAGTGTGAACGCCGAGGATCCATTCTCTTAAAGCCTCCAAAGCCATACTCTCACCTACCAGAGCAGTCAGTACATGTCTATAACCCTCAGAGTCCCCTGAAAATAGTTCCTTCAGCTCTTATCTACCTCCCTCTTGGCCACAGCACTCAGATGTAAGGCCCACCCCCATCCCCACCCCCCGCTGTCAACTAGAGCCTCATAGTGGAATGGACAGAGGAGGGTCTTTGGTGCTAGGCAGATCTGGCTTTCCATCTCAGCTTTTCCCCTTAGTACCTATATACTCTTAGGTAAGTGGTTTAAAATATCTCCACCTCGGGCGCGTGGGTGGCTCAGTTGGTTAAGCGACTGCCTTCGGCTCAGGTCATGATCCTGGAGTCCCGGGATCGAGTCCCACATCAGGCTCCCTGCTCAGCAGGGAGTCTGCTTCTCCCTCTGACCCTCCTTCCTCTCATGCTCTCTGTCTCTCATTCTCTCTCTCGCAAATAACTAAAATCTTAAAAAAAAAAATTAAAATATCTCCACCTCAGTGTGTGCATTTTATTTTTTTTAAGATTTATTATTTATTTTGAGAGAGAGAGAGTGTATGCATGAGTGGGAAGGGCAGAGGGAGAGGGAGAGAGAATCCCAAGCAGACTCTGCACTGAGCACAGAGCCCAACATGGGGCTCAATCTCATGACCCTGAGATCACGACCTGAGCCAAAACCAAGAGTCCAACGTTTAACTGACTGTGCCACCCAGGCACCCCCATGCATTTTAAAATGCGGATAAACCAATATTATAGAATTGTGTGAGGTTTATTATGGAAATGAGCATGTCCCTCAGGCTACCAAGAGAGACAGAAACTACAAAATCAATGTCTAAGGAAGTTTTGACTATAGAATATAGAGTATTTGGTGGTTCAAACTAACATTTGAACAGGTTCTAGTAACCATGCTCACAGAAGTTGGCTGCTAAAGTGGAATAGTCCTCACAGGCTCAGCCAAGGAGGACAAAGGGTAAAGAAAAATCCTAAAGAGCTGGGAGAGGAGGGTGCCCTTATTAGCTGATCCAAAGAGCTCATTCCATTGCTAGGAACATGGATCCAAAAAATGGTTGCACCTGAGGTCCCTGTCCACATAAATGTGGTACGTGCTCTGGACAAGTGATCACTGTGTGTTGCTCCCCTTCCCTGCTTTTCTAGATGGCCTTTATAGCCGTTTCTCTCCCAGCATTGAACATTGGATGTATTAGGGAATAAATTCAGTTTTAGTCCATAAGCTGCAGTATTATGGCTAGTTGCTTTCAGATGAAGAAAATGCACCTCACCCAGAGATCCTGACTCTGAGCTGGATATTGGACATGAGTTTGGGTTGTTGCTTTTGGGGAGGAGAGAGTGAGTTTTTACTTGCATGCAGAAACATCGTATTATGTTAGTTTTGACCATTCTTAAAATTACATGTTTGTGGGAAAAAAAATATGGGCTGATAAGCTTCCAAAAGGTGGAAGGTGGTGATTTTTCACTAAGTCCACCAGAAACCCTTTCCCTATTCTTTCTGGTTGCAGGTCCCACCCCACTCTCCAGCTTTGGTCCCTGAATCCCGAGCACCAGAGCTTGCTCGGAGAACAGGCATGTGGCTCAGACCTGGGCTCTTGGAGTCTTATTGGAGCTGACAGAGAAGAGCCATTCATTACTCTCTAGTCATAGAGCTATAAGGGAACGACTTTAAAGTCTCAGAAGCTACTGACCCCGCCATGTAGGAAACCCCCAAAATGACGCCAACTGCCAGTGAAGAGGAATTGGAAAAAAGCATGTTAGTTGGCTCAAGTCTCCTGTCAGTACCCGTTTAGATTCTTGGTTGCAAGCAACAGAGATGGTCTCTAGCTGATTTATGTGTAAGAGAGACTTACTGAAAATATATATAGTGGCTCACATAATTGATAGGGAGGCTGGAGATTTGGGAGCAGGAAGCCCCATGAAAGGAAGCAGGTGGGGACCCTACTGCTGAACATCAGATGATGCAGTGACTGGCCCCACCCTCACAGTCCTCTGCTTGGCCACCAAGGCCGGCTGCCACTGCAGGTCCCAGATATGGGTCTTTGCTGCCACAACTACTGCTGCGGATCAGGACCCTCCATGGTCCTTCCTTCCCAACTTCCCGGCTCTGAAGGACCACAGACCAGGAAGTCTGTGCCTGATTGGCTGAACCCACTCACGTGATCCTCTGCCCCGCCCCCAAGGCGCTAGTTAAAGGGTGGGAGAGAGGGTCTGGTCTTTACAGCTTCAGTTACGGCAGGTGGACACTGCCTTCCAAAGAGAGTCAGAAAATGGAGAATTCTCCAAACTTTAGAAAGAGGTGCACAGGATGGGCAGCCAAAAAAAGACAGTTTTCACAATTATATCACCCCTTTCCCTCTCTCCTCCAACACCCCACACTTCCTCCCAGTAGTCAACTACTGAGGGTACTTGTTTCACAGAGACAGGAAAAGCTATCGGAAGAGAGTTTCACGGGCGCCCATCACAGCTGCCCATCTACTTGCATAAGTACCCGCCTCCTCTGTCTTTTCTCTTAGTACCGTGCTTGAGCCCACCTCTTCTGGGCCCCGTCTCCGTCCACCCTCTGCCTTTGTGCCCTGTGTCTTGGCTACACTGTCCTGCAGTTGTCTTTCCTCTCCTCTGTCGCCAGTCCCCCCTCTTCACTAGAACATTCTCTTGACCATACAAACAGGCAGCGAAACTCCCATCTTAAAAAACAAACAACACTCCGGTGACCTCCCCTCCCCTCTCCAGCTGTTACCCCGTGAGTCAGAATTCAACCAAAGAAGCAGAACTGCTGTGAGCGATGTGGGTATTGTAGGAATTAGACCTCACACAATTGAAAGAAGACCCAGGGAAAGGAAGGTCCAGGGGAGGGAATTGGAGATTTAAAGAAAAATCCCCGGGCGCTGTGTGGCTCAGTGATTGTGTGGCTTCGGCTCAAGTCATGATCCCGGGGTCCTGAGATCGAGCCCTGCATCGGGCTCCCTGCTCAGCAGGAAGCCTGCTTCTCCCTCTCCCTCTGCCCCTGCTTGTGTTCCTTCTCTTGCATGCTCTCTCTCTCTGTCAAATAAATAAAATCTTAAAAAAAATAATAAAGAAAAATCCTTAATCGGGCTTCCCGAAGCACCCCCAGGTGGGCAAATCAGAGTTTACAGGGAAATCTGAGAAGCCAGACACATCCACCTGCTGAATTGGGACTCAGAGGGGAAATGCGTGGAGAGGTCTATGGGAGGATAGGGCTTCTCTGCAGCTCCCACATCTGTGGGTCTGTAGCCACATGCTCAGTGGTGTGTGATCCGACAGTCGGCAGAGCTCACACTCTGGAAGCAGAGCACCTGCTCTGGACCTGGCACGGAGGACAGTCTGAAGACAAGCCAGGCCCTGCCCAGCACCTCTGCTTTCTATATCTCACTCTGAAGTCCTTCGGGTATTAAGGGGTGCCACTTCTCTTCTGCCTCTCATATCTTCGGCAGGTTTCTCCTCTTTTGGTCAACTCTAACCCAAAATCTAACAAGAATTCTGGGAAACAGGATGCCCAGATTCATTAAGATGACAACGAGATCATCCACCCACCACATTTCTCTGATCTTCTTCAGAACAGTAGCTATAGGAAGAATGTTTTATACTTTCTAGCTCCACTTCTTCACCTCCCAAGTTCTGTCGAGCCCACTCCATCACCTCCATGCCATCAAAGCTGCTCTCATCGAGGTCACAGATGACAATGGTGTGTTCTCGGTCCTCCTCCTCTTATTTGATGTGTCGGCAGCAGATAACACAACTGGCCTCTTCCTCCTTAAAACACTTTCCTCCCACGGCATCCAGGATACTACTTACTGATGCTTCTCCTTTCTCCCCACTGCGCTGCTTCTCAGTTGCCTTTGCTGGTTCCTTCTATTTCTTTTTTTTTTTTTTAAGATTTTATTTTTATTTATTTGACAGAGAGAGACACAGCGAGAGAGGGAACACAAGCAGGGGGAGTGGGAGAGGGAGAAGCAGGCTTCCCGCCGAGCAGGGAGCCCGATGCGGGGCTCGATCCCAGGACCCTGGGATTGTGACCTGAACCGAAGGCAGACGCTTAACGACTGAGCCACCCAGGTGCCCCAGTTCCTTCTATTTCTGATCTCTAAATGTTAGAATGCTCCAGGCCTCGGTCCTTGGAATTCTTTCTTTCTTTTTTTTTTTTTCCCCATGCCTGAAGTTGTTTTATTTTTTTCCAGCTTTATTGAGATCTAACTGCCATATAACAAACATTGTGTAAGTCTAAGGTGTACAATATATTGATTTGATACACTCTGGGGGCGCCTGGGTGGCTCAGTCGTTAAGCGTCTGCCTTCGGCTCAGGTCATGGTCCCAGGGTCCTGGGATCGAGCCCCGCATCGGGCTCCCCGCTCCGCGGGAAGCCTGCTTCTCCCTCTCCCACTCCCCCTGCTTCTGTCCCCTCTCTCACTGTATCTCTCTCTGTCAAATAAATAAAATCTTAAAAAAAAAAAAACAGTAGGATACACTCTGAATTTTTCTCTTCTCTTTCTATGGTCACCATACCGATGAGCTCATCAACTTCCATGAGCTTAAATATCCATCTGTCAAATTTATCTATCCAGTTCCAACTTTCCTCCTAACCTATAGGTTTGGAAATCCAAATGCCTATTGATATTCCAACAAATAATTAATAGACTTTTCAAATTTATTGTGTCCAAAAACTAACTCATAGTTTCATATCCCACTTCCCTTATCACCCGCCCCACCCAAGTTTGGTAAATGGCAAGTCCATTCTGCCAGGTGGTCAGGCCAAAAGTCTTGGTCTCATCCTTGATGTCTTTTTCTCTTATACCCTACATTCAAGTCTTTGGCAAACTGTATCAGTTTTACCCTGTAATATATCTAGAGTCTATTCTCACTGTTACTGCCAAGATGGGTGGATGAGTGGATGAGCACAGTGTACAATCTGTGTTTAGAAGGATGACAGAGGGTACTGTGTGAAGATACAAAGAAAATGAGTTCTTTAGTAAATATAAGTGTGGTTGCATTAACAGTATATGGGGGAGGAGAGAGGTGGGAAATCAGGTAAGGAAGGTAGGCACTGCCCATTTAATGCCACACCTCTGTGTTGAGGGGTCTGAATCTTACCCCAAATGCTTTAGAAAGCCATTGAATGATTTTAAGAAAGGGAATGACATTGTCAGATTTATATTTTAGAAGAATCTCTCTGGGTGCTTGTGGAAAATGAATTGGAGGGTAGCCAGAACTCGGCAGGCCAAGTGGGGACTATTTTAGTTAATTTGGTTAAGAAGTGATGAAGGCCCGAGCTATGGCAGTGGCTAATGGGTAAACTTGCCAGATGTCCTCCCTAAAAATACCAGGCACCAGACCAAGCATCGAGGAAGGTGTTGACGAGCAGGGGCAGTCCTGAAAAATATCCACTTAATTTAAACAATATCTTGTGTGTCAATAATAATTTCCACTTTTTTTTTTTTACAACTTTTCTATCTCCTGTTTTTTAAAGAATTTTTTATTACAACAACTTGCAAAAAAATGTTAAAGGACAGAAAAGGCAAAGTTTAAATATTTTTTCGTTTCGTGAGGTCAAAAGTCCAATACTAGACCACCCAGGTCAATACCAGCTAGCCAGCAACCCTACCAAGGGGAGGAGCATGAGAGTGGGTTAGGGGTAAGAACTAGTTTGTTCTTAGGACTAGTTCTTCCCGGGGCGCCTGGGTGGATCAGTCGGTTAAGCATCTGACTCTTGATCTTGGCTCAGGTCATGATCTCAGGGTCCTAGAATCCAGCCCCATGTCCTGTCCATCTGTCCGTCCATCTGTCCATCCATCGGGCTCCACGCTCAGCAGGGATTCTGCTTGAAATTCTCTCTCCCTCACCCTCTGCCCCTCCCCCACTCGAGCACGCTCTCTTGCACGCATGTGCGCTCTCTCTCTCTCAAATAAATAAATAAATAAATAAATAAATAAATAAATAAATAAATCTATCTTAAAAAAAAAAAGTTCCTCCCTCGAAAATGGGAAGCTAGATTCTAGATCTTGAGGTTGCTGGAGCAGTAAAATTCGCCATCAGCTCCATATGTTTTTCCTTCCCCAAAAATGGTAGGAATTTCTCCATTGGAAAAGCAGCTGTCTATACTTCTTCCCTTAGTTCCCCTCCCTGTGGTTCTGGGAGAATATTCCAACATCAATTAGGTTCAGACTTGGGTCCAGGGGGAGGCCTGGGAGGAAGGGCTCACTCACATGATCCAGTGACTGGAGAGAAACCAGAGACACTGTGGGTGGTGCTGAGCTGATCCAAAGCTCTCCTGTTCCCACTTCTCTCTTCCCTGGGAAGAAGTGACCCATCCCTTCTCCCTTCTGGGAATACCAACAGTGGAAACAACAATTCTTGGTTCTTGCTAAAGAGATTTTTGGTAAATGTGTTTGCTGTGTCTTTGTGGTATAAAGGATGGCTCCTCACTAGCAACTCAGAAATAAATCACTTTTGAACCTTTAGCTTCCCATTTTCTTAAAAAGGTGTGTGTGGGCCAAGGAATCATAGAATGACTAGTCATTCCCTCAGGCCTTCATGAAGGACAAAGACTAAAGGACCCCGTTCCTCAGACACTCAAGCAAGAGTCTCTGATAGTCCTTTGAAAGAATAGTAAACCATGGCAGGTCATGGGATCTTCCTGAGCTTGTGGTCCCACTGGAGTTTTGTTTCTGATGGGAAACTTTTAAAAACACCACCAGAGAAGGGTACCTGACTGACTCAGTCAGTGGAGTGTGCAGGTCTTGATCTCAGGGTCGTGAGTTTGAGCCCCACGTTGGGTGTAGAGATTGCTTACGTAAATAAACTTTAAAAAACAAAACAAAACAAAACAAAACACCACCAGAGAAGGACTGTTATAAAGAGCAGCCTTCGGGCAGAATTGTGCAGTGAATCTGCATTTGTTTTCTATTGTTGTGTAACAAATTACTACAAATTTAACAGCTTAGAACAACACACATTTATTACCTCACAGTTTCCATGTCTCAAGAGTCTGTGTACGGGGGAGCTGGATCTTCTGCTCAGGGTCTCACCAGGCTACAGTGAAGATGTCAGCCAGGGCTGCAGTCTCATCTGACGCTCAGTGTCCTCTTCTAACTCACGTGGTGGTTGGCAGGATCCACTTCCTTGCACTTGTGGAACTCATGGTGGCTAGCTTCATGGAGGCCAGCCAGAGTATCTTTCTGACTTCTTCCATCTCTGACCTCTGACCTCCTTTTAAAGGGCTTGTCTGATTAGGTCAGGCCCACGCAGGCTAATCTGCCTTTTAATTAACTTAAGTCAATTGATTAGAGACCTTAATTACATCTTTGAAATCCTTTCACCTCTGCCATCTAATATAACATAATCCCAGGAGTGATATCCCATCACCTTTGCCATATTATTATTTCCTAGAAGCAAATTATAGGTCCCACCCACATTCAAGGGGAGGGAATTATACGAGGACAGGGGTCCTTCAGAGTTCTCAGTTCTGCCTACCACAGAGCATGAGCTTCTGGAGAGAACAGCCCTTTCCTGAGGGGCGACTGGAGTGGATGATAATCTTCAAGATGAGAACTCTCAGTGAAAGGATTTATAAGTGTCTCTCACTATAGTGGGTGGAATGGTAGTCCCCAAATATATGTCAACCTGGAATCTCAGAATGTGACCTTATTTGGATTAAAGGTCTTTGCAGATATAATTAAGGTAAGGATCTTGAGATGAGATTATCCTGGACTAAGATAGGCTCCAAATCCAATGATGTGTGTCCCTATAAGAGACAGAAAAAAGACATACATGGACACAGGAAGAAAGTGAGGAAAGAGGTAGAGATCGGAGTGAGATATGTCTACAAGCCAAGGAATGCTAAAAATTGCCAGAGCCACCAGAAGCTAGGAAAGAGGCATGGGACAGACTCCTCCTCAGAGCCTCTTGAAGAAGCCAATTCTGTTGACACCTTGCTTTCGGACTTCTGGCTTCCAGAATTATGAGAGAATAAATTTCTGTTGTTTTAAGCCACCAAGATCATGGCAACTTGTTGCAGCAGCCTTGGAAAATGAATACACTCATTGATCATTGTCCCTGTGCTAATCAAGGTCAAAGAGACAGACTTGGTGGTCTCGGGGGCCACATGAACTCCAACTCTATAGAGATGCCAATTCCCAGAGATCAGGGATGCCCTAAGAGGACCAAAACAAGGCGGCTTTGTCACCCAAGCTACATTCATCACAGAAGGTCAGCAGATGCCCATTCATTTATACCCTCCTTTATTATCCCTTCATTGATGAATTTGTTTGATTCAGCTGCTGTTTAAAAAAAAAAAAAGGCTAAAATAACTCTGGCTTAAACAAGATACAAGTTTATTTTTCTTTCATGTAAGAGTCTTAAGCATAAGCAATCCATGGTGGACATGGTGACTGCACACTTTTGAACACCCGGGCTCCTCCTATCTGGTTCTTCTGCCACCTGTAACACAGAGTCATGACCTAAGATGGCTGCTTCAGTTCCTACAATCACACCTGCATTCCAGCCAGTGGGAATGGGAGAAGTGGATGTGGAGGATATGCCCTCTCCCTTTAATGGCAGACCTGGAAGCTGAATACCTCAATTGGCTAGAACGTAGTCACATAGTCACACCTGTATCTGCCAGGAGGCTGTAATGTCTTTAGCAAGACCATGTGCCCAGCTAAAACTTAGGGGTTCTATCACTAAAGGAAGAAGGGAAGAATGGGGAATGGAGAGCAACTTCTGTCCACAGGAGACAACAAACACAAGGTCTGACTTGCTCAGTGGCTTCTCAAATCTGGGGCCCAGGAAGAAGGGAAGAAAGGTCCAGAAGTGGAAATCCACGAATAGATAGCACCCCAACCACCCTTCTAACTGAGTACAGGATGAAGCAGAACCTTGAAAATGTGGGTTTAAAACAGCAGGAATAAGATGAACACAGAAAAGCTAGGATGATAGTATTCCTCCTTCCCCATGATACCCTCTGTTGTGGGTTGAACCATGTCCCCCTTAAAGATACACTGAAGTCCTAACTCCCAGAACCTGTGAACGTGACCTTATTTGGAAATAGGGTCTTTGCTGATGTAATCAAGTTAAAAGGAGCTCATACTGAATTAAGTCGGGCCCTAATCCAATGACTGGTGTCCTTACAAGAAGAGGGAAAATGTGGACACAGACACACAAGGGGAGCCGGCCGTGTGAAGATGGGGGCAGAAGTTGTAATGACACAGCTACAAGCCAAGCAATGCCAAGGATTGCCTGCAGCCGTGAGAAGCTACAAGAGCCAACCAAGGAGTCCTCCCCTAGAGCCTTCAGAGAGAGCATGATCCTGCCAACACCTTGATTTTTCACTTCCAGCCTCTAGAACCATGGGAAAAGAAATTTGTTATACCGGGCCTAGCAAACTAAGAGATCATCTTCTTTTCTGGTTCTTTAGGGCTCAATTCTAATGAACCTTTCCTATAATGTGCCCTAAAGCTCTCACATCCAGAAGTGCCCTCTATCCTAAACTCCTGTCCATCCTTAAGATTTAGCTCATCACAAATGCTGCATGGGAAGTGGACGGGTGAGTCAAACCAGGACCAAATGTCAGGCACAGGCCAGACCAGAGTCTGAATGTGAAAAAAGAGCTGTGTGTGTGTGTGTGTGTGCGCCGTGATGTGAATATGAAACCAGGGGCATCTGTCTGAGGCAGGGGTGAACCTGCAGAAGAAAAATCAGGAGGGATATGCCCACCCTGGCCAAAAACAAGTCCAAGATCTAGGCTGTCTGTGGAAGTAGGACTATCCACAGACCAAAACCAGGAGGCCTGAGACGAATCCTTGCTCCCTACTCCGATGACACTACACCAGAGGAGCCTTATCGGTTTCCAAACTGTTCTATATGCGGTCTCCCATTTGGTCTTCAAAACCAGTCTGCGTGAGCTGAGTAGAACAATAATGGAATCTCCATTTGATTCACAGGCAAAAAAATTGCCAAGTAACCTGCTCAGTGTCACATAACTGATTATCAGTGTGTGTGGAAGGGAAATAAAATGAACTTTGGAGTCTGGTAGACTGGGTTAAAAGATATTTGATTTCTATGAGGCTCTACTGTTTGTTGTCACTTAACGTAACATTTGTAGATCACCTCTTATGGTATCGGCATGTGGATTGGTGCTCAATAAATGGCCATTTCCTTCCTTTTCCCTTCCTTGCTTCTCCAGACCCAAATTTGGTGCTCTCTAAACTACCAGTGTTGCCTTTCTCAGACTAAAGTAATCTTGGCTACTTACAGTTCACCTCTCTAGAAGTTAGTTTCTTCATCCACTTTATCAAAGGACTGGACTAAATCATTTCTACAATCTCTCCCAGCTCTGATAGTCCCTGGCCTTAGGAAAACCGCATTCCTGCAGCCCCTCTAGTCAACAGACCGACACTGCAAAGCCCACACCTGTTGTACCTCCTATAACCATCAGGGGGCGCACGGCCTGGGGTGGAGCAAGACGGAAACTTGGACGCTCTCTCTGCCTTGGACTGTACAGAGCTTTAGGAGAGCCAGCCATCCCAGGCACCCTCATTCCCCCTCTAAAGGCAAGAGAAGAGAGAAAGTCAACCTTTCTCCCTTTACTTTATAGATGAGGACGCTGAGGAAAGCGTTTTGATTTTCCTTAATGTCATAATAGCTATGAAAATTAGATGGCCTCCTGGAGTTTCTGCTAATTTAACTGAGTTGCATATTATGTTTCAACTAATTAGCCAACAGTGGATCCAGGGCTTTTTGCATGGGGTGGGGGAGAGCATCAGCTGTACCCCCTCCCCATTGCAGGTCCCCACTTCTGGAGAGACATGCAAACACAGACATAGGTCTGCAGCCAGGAAGCACGAGAGGGAGCCCAGGGGGCCCAGATGATTGGCTTTCAGGATCAAAGCATAAAGGAGCACTATTCCTGTGGCCTTCACCTGTGCCCCCGAATGAAAGGGGAGAAGCTGCTCCTACTCTCTAAGAGTTGAGGGATAAAGCTGGTGTGGGATTAAAGCCCTATGACTACCCGTGAGGCCCACAGCCTGCACCTACCACCATCCCCCAGAAGAATCTACCATGGGGAGAGTCCTAGGAAAGCCTTTCTCAACCTCCTCCTTACCGTAATTCTGCCTCCTCCTTAGCGGTTCCACCTGATGACCTGATGCAGAAGGTTAAGTCACCTCTGGAAAACCCAGCCACTCCTCATTCCCTCTCTACTGAGCTCACCCCCCTTCGCCCCATCATTTCTGCCCATGCCCAGCTCCTGCTAACAAACTCTAGCAAGGCCAGCGTCCCACAGGCTCTTTCGTTCTCACTGGTCTGTAAGTCTTCACCTCTCTGGGTTCGGAGGATGGTTGTTTGTCTTCCACAGGTCAAGTGCTCAGGGCCCATGCTAGCAAAAGCAGCCTGCTCGGCATCCAAGGTGTAAATCTCCCTCAGCCTGACACCTGGCCACAAGGTGCTGGGGGGATGACCAGAATGGCTGACTCTCCATCTGTCGGATGCCCTGGTGACAATTTGCAGACGGAGTCCACAATCCAGTGCAAGTCTAAACACTCTAAGGGGGCCTGACAGCTGACACATGGGTGTGTGTCAAGCAAGACTCACGCAGTATGAGCTCTTGGATAATGTTCAAGGACATTTCTACAAACCAGAGCCCCACTCCCCCCACCCCCACCCCTGCCCCGCCCAAACATCATCCTTCTTCCCTGCCTAGGACTGACTGGACAACTTTCCTCAGTGATGTTGGAAAAATATCCAGAGATGGAGAGAGGAGGCCCTCGTACTTCTTCCCAGGCCAAAGCAAGACTGCCTTCTCCACTAAGTATTCAAAAGTTGAGTCCCTGCCAAGAAACCTCCCACACCTCAGACTCCAGAGATCTCACACAGCTCTGGATTGAGAAGGAGAAAGTCATCTTTGGCATGCAAACATCCTAAGAAATAAAACCTGGGCTCCTGGAGAAAAGGGAGCAGCAGAGCCTGGGTCCAATTCACAGGGAACACCCATATGTGGAAATCCACTGAGCTTAGCCTCAGGGCAGATCGAGGCTTTGTAACTCTGGAGCCCCTGAACCCAGCTGGTGCATCGTACCTTACTGTAACACAGCACGTTAAACATTTGATGATTTACTAACCATCCCATAAATCAGCCTGGACGACGGTCTCTGCTTACGGAGTTTAAATAAGAACTCACAAAATGATTCAGCGATTTCCACAGCAATTTTCTTTCCATAGGAAACTGCCTGATAAGGTTCTTAAGAATTGGAATAAGGGGGGGGAAATTATCAACTAATTCAAACTTGTAACTCCAGTTTTACTTCAAAAGGATAACACTGATTTCTGCAGCCCAGGAAAGGGAGAGGTTGTGGAAAGGATGGGAAACATCAGAATATATTTATAACCAAAGACATTTGCCCAACACCAACAATGCCCTGTGCCTCCAGACACACACACACACACACACACACACACAACACTAGGCAAAACTCGTTCCCAGTGGCAATGGGGTCTTACGAATGCACCACTGGCTTATAGCATGGGAGCTGACGTATACCCCATAGACCCTGCTCCTGAGCACAGCAAACTATGTTCTCCCATGAGCACTGCACTCAAGTCCTTTGCGCAGCTTGACTTTGCTACCCACTTACAACTGGATTCCATGAATTTCGGAAAGATGGGGATGCAGGAGTGGCAAAGGCTTAAGCTCACTCCCCTTCACCCAAACAGAATTTTCATCTTTTGTTTAATGACGATGAGGAAGAAAGGGGCAAGGATTAGTCCTAATTTATTGCGTTGCTCAAAAGCCAGCTCTAAGAAGGGAGTAAGTGGATTATAGGGGAAAGAAATGGAGAAAAGAAGGCAGGGGATGAACTGCATTCAGTACTATTTATTAATCTGATGTTTAAAGGAAAAGAAGGAATCCATTCTAATGGCTCACCCTCCAGCCCCCCAAAACCCTGAAGAAGTCCTTCTGACACTGCTGTGAGGTAGATCAGAGCTGTCCTGTGTCCAAAGTGGGGGAGGCTGGTGCTTAGAAATCCGTACTGATGGAGTTGGGGACAAAACTCCAAACCTGGACCTTTTCTAGCTTTCCGCTCCCAGCCTCGGCCACCGAGCCTGAAGAGCACTGCGTGGTCTATCAGGTGCAGGCAGCAGAAGGAATGGAAGGAGGAGTGCTCCCTTTGCCCTAAACACACAGCACAGAAACGAGCAAGGTGATAGTCCCGCTGCTTGAGGCATCTGAGCTCAGGCCGCTGGATACTTCGGCCGCTGAGGTAGTGGTGAAGTTCAGGAGTGGGGTTTAGAAAACTCAGAAAGAGAGAGACAAGAGGATGGTGAAAACCCACTTGGTAAGGATTTCCCCTCCCCAACTGGCCCCCCTCCCTATCCCGAGGCCAAGTCATCAGTTTCTGGAGGTCAAAGATTTCCAGCTGGGAAACTCCACAGGGCTCATTCTAAACAGGGACTGGAGGCTTTCCAAAATTTCTGGATCAACAGAGTTCTTTCTTGTCGTTCAGGACTTAAGAAATTCCCCAGGAAGCCCTGAAAAACGTAGATAACATATCTTGGGGTGAGGGGCACAGGGTGGGAACAGGGGCACTAGAGGAAAGGACTAAAAGTCAGGGACCCTGGAAAGCATATGCATGTAATCACACAAAAAAGCATTCGGGCTCCACCCAGCCACAAAATACCCACCCCCAACTCCAACCCAGCCCTGCTCCTTCCAGGGAGAACTGACACTCACGGGTCCCCCCACTCCCGTTTATCCTTCATACCCAAGGGGATTCTCACTATCACTCCGTAGCTGTCAAACTTTTCAAAGAATCCAAACCTGAGGCCGAGAGTTTGGGAAGGCCTCTAGTCTTCTCTGCAAGTCAAAGCCAGCCCAAGTGGTGGCAAGAAATCTGGGCGGCCAAAGAACGGAGCTAGAAAATCTAGAGCTGACCAGGCAGGCTCAGGATACAGCCACACTTCCTGGCGCACACGGGGTGGGTCCTGGGGTGAAGGACAATCCTCTGTCCTCCTTTGCTTCAACCCTGGGGCAGGTGGCTCGGATGCGGGAGAAGAAAGGGCCCTGGGTTCCATTTTGGTTCCCTACTCCATGTCCCCCCTTCTTTCGCTGCAGAGACCTCTCCAACCCCACCTTATCCTACCGAACCCCAAACTCGAAATGACCAAACGAGACACCGAATGCTTCCTGATCCTGAGCCGCCGGCCTCCTCGCCTCGGTTACCTACCCGTCGAGCGGTGGGCGCTGCCTGGACTCCGCGGGGCCGGTCAGGGCCGCAGGGGCGCCCGAGGGGTCGCCAGGCCGGGAGGCGGCGGCGCGGTGCTCCTCCCGCCGGCAGCGGCACAGGAGGCGGCGGAAGGCGCGGCGAAAGTCGGAGCTGCGGCAGTAGATGAGCGGGTTGAAGGCGGAGTTGGCATAGCCTAGCCAGTTGAGGGCCAGGAAAGCCGGGCTGGGAACCAGAGAGGGGCCGCCGAGAGCGCGCATCACGTTGGCCACGAAGAAGGGCAACCAGCAGAGAGTGAAGGTACCCATGATGAGACCCAAGGTGCGCAGGGCCCGGTGTTCCCGGAGAGGCAGAAGGCGCTCGGGCCGCCGACCGTAAGAAGGCACCCCTGCGGGCGAAGCGCACGGCCCGGCCGGGGCGGGGGACAGAGAGCGAGACGCAGTCGGCGGGGACTCCTCCCGCGGGAAGCGGCCCAGCTCCCGGCGCAGCAGGCGCAGTTGGCGCGTGGCCACGAGGAAAACGCGCGCGTAGACGAAGAACATCACCAGAAGCGGGAGGTAGAAGGAGACGGAGGAGGAGAGCAGCGCGTAGGCTACGTTGGCGGCGAAGGCGCAGCAGTGCGGGTTGGAGAGGCAACGCTGCGCCTCGGCGTCGGCTCCCGCGCGCCACCATTTGCTCATGATGGGCGCAAACGACACCGCGGCGGACACGACCCACACCAGCACCACTGCCGCCCGCGCGCGCCGTTTGGTGACCAGCGCGCCGTAGCGCAGCGGGTTGGTCACTGCCAGGTAGCGGTCCACGGCCAGGGCGCACAGGGTTTCGATGCTGGCTGTCACACACAGCACGTCCACTGAGGTCCACAGCTCGCAACCAGTGGCTCCCAGCGGCCAGTGGCCGGTCAGCGCCAAGGTGGCCCCCGGCGGCACTACCAGCAGTCCCACCACCAGGTCTGCTGTGGCCAGCGAAGTCACGAACACGTTGGTCATGGTCTGGAGTCTCGGTGTCCGAGCGATGGCCACGATTACCAGCAGGTTGCCTCCCACGGTGACCAGCACCTCCAGCGCCAACAGCGCCCCCGCCAAGGCCACCGCCCACGGCACCCCTGGCAGCCCACTCGTGTTGGCAGTACTGGGCGTCGGGGTGGGGGCAGCCGGCCACGAGGCCAGAGAGCTGTTCCCGTGAGGCCACGGAGCCATTCCCGCGGCGCGCGTGGGGCGGGAGGGAAAGAGAGAGGGGGTCTCCCTTCTAGATGGGTCCCTTCCCCCCTGCTCAGGGGAGGGGACAACGGGGCGTGGGAGCGATTTCCTCGGCCTGGGCCATCTTCCCTAGTTGACCGGCGGAGAACGCTCAGCCTCCCCCCCACCCCCAACCCGCTTGGTGCCACCGCTTGGGGGGGCGGGTAGGGGGGGAGGAGTGGAGGCCCTTAAAGGGGCAGCGGCCAATAGTCTCGACGCCCGGGCGTCAGGAAGGGAACTGGAGGGAGGGGAGGGAAGAGAGATGGATGTCTGAGTTTTCCTTTAAATATATCTGGAGTACGGACACCGGGACTTCTCTGCCCCGTTGTGCCCACTCCTGCTATAACCACTGCACCCACTCAGCGCAGCACTCCGTCGGCACTGATTTCTTGGAACTCTGCACCAATTCCCCGGGAAGATCCAGCAGCAACGCTAGCTGAAGACTAATGAAGACCACGCCCCGCACGCACTCCCCCCCCACCACCACCTTACCTTGTTAGAGGAAAAGGTAACCCTCCCAGGGCAAGCAAAATGATCCACGGTACCACCTCATCTACCTGAGTGTCCTTCTCTAAAATATTGTAAGTAAAAGAGGTCAGCCAGTGTCTTCTCTCTTCTCCCAAGACCTCATTCTGATGAAATTTGTGCCCTTTCCCTTCTTCTATTTCATTTACCCTCCCTGCTCCTCCAGTTTTCGGTTGTCTTTTTGTTGTTCTTGCTCTTTTCAGTTACTGGAGAAATTCGACTTTTTCCAAGAATCTTTAGCATTGCCTACTGATTTAAATTTTGATTTGGCTTCATGTAGTCTGGGATGCTGAGAGTTTCGATTTCTCCATCTTCCCCATTGCACATTGCCCCTTCCACACACCTTTCCACCTAGGAAATTTCTAGATGGGTCCGTTCTTTTAAAATTCTTTAAAATTTTTAAATTTCAAAATTCTTTAATATTTTACATTTTAAAATTCTTTAAAGACATGTTGAAAGTGAACAAATGGGTTTGAGGTTAAGGCATGAGGCCTGTCCACCATCACCCCCCAGCTATCCACAAATCTTCCATCACTACCCTCCCAATAGTAAAATGTTCACTCTACTTCCTTGGAAGGTTTTATTCATGAACTTTTAAAAATTAGAAGACATTCAGCTGAGGAATTCACATGTTGCATCTTCTAGTGTGTGAAAGGATAGGCCTAGTATCATAAGGCCTCTTGAAGTTTCTCCTACAGCCCCATCAGAGGCTCCCTCACCTGACAAGCCCAAAGCTCTTTCTCTCCCCCAGACTTCAGGCTGCTTCTGCCAGCCAAGCTCTCCCAATCTCAAAGCCAGTTCTTGTCAAGCAGGGTGTGGGCAGGTGAGGCTGGAAAAGAAGCCCCTGGGTTCAAGGTGAGAGGCAGGAAGACATAATACCTTTATTAAAGAAAACCTGATCCTGGAGCTGTCTTCCTTCCTCGCCTGTAACAATGGGACAAAAGGGGAAAAATTATCATGGAAAATGCCTCCAGGGCCATACCCTCATATATCTCATTTGAACAGCTCTATATTTCAAAAGAACGTTGTATAGTCACTGGTCGAAGCAATCCCTCTGGGAGGCTGAGCCAGGGGTTGGGAAGAGACGTGAGGACCTAAAATTATCCCTGAGGAGAAAGAACCAATTTTGTCTCCCAGGGACCCAGCAGCTCACCCACAAGCAGGGTTTGTCCGTGGCCCCCAAATCAATGCCTTCCACACACATGCAGTACCCCCAAGCAGGTCTTTGGATCCACGGAGCTGCCCAATGGGTGGAGGTCAAGAGCCTAGCCTTTGCCCCCCACCCCCAGTCCTGCCCGAGTGGTGTAGGCCCCACTTGGACTTGAGTCTTGGCTGTGGCCTCTTGCTGGTCATCAAAGCAATCACTTCCAAGTTGGGTTTTGCAACACCCCAGAGTGTTGCCAGTTATCTCAAAGGGATATCATAAGATTCTTAAAGAGTAATCTCTAAAACAAATACATGTCATTCAGCAATTTTTTTTCCAGGACATCAGAGTTGGGGGGCTGGGTGAGGTAAGTGGGCAAGGAAGTCAAGCAACCTCAAAGGATGTCATTGCTTTAGGGGGTGACCTCGAATTCTGACCAAGTGTCTAAAAATGTTTACATTTTCAAAACAGACAAGATTTCCCAAGCCACATGAGTATGCTTGAGTTTGGGTCTGATTAGGCCAATAACTGAAGGAGAGTGTGAGCAGAGGAATTCCAGGCCCCAGTTAGTGAAGGCTTCTATGAGCAAGCAGAGCAATGCTTAAGCACCTGGCGTGCTTGTCTCTGCTTGCCCGGCCCCACTCCCATTCCTAGTCTGGCCTCCCCCTGCCCAAGAGGCTGACAGGGAGAAGGGCTCCCCACTTTGCCACTTTGTTCTCTCTTTTCCCAGCTTTTGTGTTTTTTCACTTAATCTTTTGGATAGGTAATGCATTCACATTATTCAACCATCAAAATATTCCAAATGCACGTGATAGAAAGTTGCCTTCATCAAGGGGTTTTCAACTCCCTTAGGAGTAATCACCCTTAGTCTCTTGTTTTTTCTTCCAGCGATATGTTATATGTAAACAAGTCAATATGAATATATGTCCTCTCCTTTCTACACAGATGATAGTGGAATATGCCCACTGTTCTGCACCGTGCTTATTTTCACTTAATAACATATATCTGTAATCCTTCCATACCAATACGCAATAATGTCCCATTTCTAATATTCCATTGCATGGCTATACCATACTCTATGAAGCCAGTTGGCTGCTAGTGGACAACTGATTTACTTGCAATCTCTACTAATAGATGATGTTGCAGTGAGTCACTTGAAACATGTCATTTCACATGTGTGTGACTGAATTTGTAGAATACATTCCTAAAGACAAAATTGCTGTATCATGAGGTACATGTATTTGCAATTTAAAATTTATTGCCAAATTACCCTCCCCAGGCGATGTACCCATTATACTGTTGCCATCATTTCTGATGGCCAGACAGAGGTTGGAGGCAAGTGACCTGCTGCTCTGGGAAGTGGTCCTAATGACTAGCCCCAGGGGTGTTAGAGCTGCCTAGTCTGTAAAGGTCATCCAACTCTGGGCAGAAGCATACAGTGCCCAGAGAGAGCTTCACCCTGGCCCGGGGCCCCAGATGACCTTTGTTCTGTGCCCTTGGAAGCAGTGAATGTGCACCTCTGAAGCTGCCGAATTCAGGCCCCCTGGACTGTTGATGTGTTGGGGGCTCCAGGCAGGCAAGTAACCCTGTTGTGCAAGAGGGCAGTTGTGTGATGGCCTGTGATTTAGAATATGTGGTCAGTAGAACCAGAACAGGCAGAGGCTGCCTGCTGGGTAGAAGTTCTAATAACAGGGTGCAGGGGAAGGAATGGGGGTTGCTGTCCCTCCCTTGCTTGAGTAGCTTGTGGTTGGTCTTATGCACATCACAACTGGGTGTGTGTGTGTGTGCCTATGTGATAGGGTATAAGGAAGCCTAGGGGAGTTCAGGTGTCTGAGCCTTATACCTCATCCAAGACTACATGTGTTAGAGGTGCTATAGTCTATGATTTATAATCTCTCCATCTTGCTTTAAAGTTCTTGAAAGAGACCACAAATGAGGTGGAAGTTTCTCCCCATTCTTTACCCTGCCTATCTTCTCCAATTAGTCCACGGAGACAAGATGGTGGGAACATAGAATTGGAGCTAAAGGGGTCTTAAAGATAAAATCCAACACAACATTTTACAGAATTAAAAGGCCAAGGCCCAGAGGGGAAACTGAGTCTTGGCCACGATCCCACAGTGAAGTTCATTCCTGTCAGATGCACAGGCATCCAAGGAGCTGGATCCTTTTCCAGAGTACCTCCCCCCCTCACCCCCCACTCCCAGCCGGGCCCCAGAATAGACCACCGCCCTGCCTCTGGAACTGAAAAGAAGCTCCTAACCTAAGACTTTCCTTGTGTTCTGCAACATGCCATGGCCAACTCGACACACATCTGACGTTTCCCAAGGAAAGGAGCTTGAAGGGAGGCAGAGAAGAGGCCTCCATTCTTGGGAGACAAAAGGTCCTCTGGTGCCTAAGTGCTAGCCTGGGACAAGGCTTTATATAGGCAGAGAAAGAGTGGACATTTAGGATTTTCTAGCAATGCCTTTTCTCTTTGTTTCTAGCCATCAACAGAAGAAGAGACCAGGAAATATTTCCTTCACTCCTAAAGGAGAAAAAGAAATCCTTGTTCTAGTCTCTTTGAGTCATCATTAAGGTCCTTGACTCTTGGCGAAGCTGCTCCCCAGGGGATGGGAAAGGTCACACGCCCCACCTGCAGCCCAGACAAGACTTCTTTGGGGTTCAGTAAAGCACCATCTCCCAGGGAGGTAGGGGAGAAACCAATCCAGTATGGGAGGGAGAGAGCACGAGAGGATGTGCCCACCAACCCACAGATAAGTTTCTCTCCTGGCCTTCCAAGGATACTGTTTTGGCTGATTTCTTTGCACCTCCTTTCTTTGATCAGGAGAAGGAGTCAGCGTGGAGAGGGCAGGTCCACCACACCTCTTAGATCTGTGATCTCTCTCCTTACTCTTGAGGGAAAGCTCAAACAAGGCTGGAGCTTGTCTGGCTCAAGAGGGTGGTACTCAAGCTGAATATGCTCCAGCCCCTTCTCTCACATCAACCCATACCTTCCCTGAGGAAGCAGATCCTGAGGCAAGGGTGGCTGGTGCTTGGAAAGAAAGGGAACAAAACAACCAGGATAGTTTCTCCTCTACCAAAGAAACCAATGCCTCGCAGGAATCGACCCCTCCAACTGAGCCGGGAGCAAGGAGCTATCCTGGGCTAGAAAGAGGAAGGAAGCCAAGCCCCACAAACCCTAGGAGATGGCCAAAAGCCCATCAGGGGAGAATCAAGTCTGGGGGTAGTTAAGATCCAGATGCCACGGGAGAGGCTGTGGCAGGGGGAAGAGGAAAATGTTTCCTGTTTTTGAAGAAGTCATGGATGGGGAAAAGGCCACTTTTTTTTAATCCCAAGAAAAGGCAAGACATTTTGCTTCCAGGCAGGAGGGGGCTGTCTTCCTCTCCCATGATAAATGAGCAATAGGAGGAGGAGGAGACATCCTCAGGCTCTCCATTCAGCCTGAGTCATCAGGCTGGACCTCTCTGGTGGAGGTGTGGCAGCCTGGGTCTTCCAGCCTCTCGGTCACAGCTCTGCACACTTTCTCTTGTGCCAGTCCCCAGTGATAGACAGGTGACTAGGACCCATCCCCTGCCCACTGGGTAGAAAGCTCCAACCCCCAAAGAGGGAGTTGGGATTCACTTTGTTCCTGCCAGTGCTGCGGTAGGCAGCTTTGGGCATAGACATCGGATAGGGTGGCTTTATCCCATGATAGAGAA